TACCAAAAGTTCCTTAATTTGTTTCGAATACAATAAGCATTAAAGCCCTGGTCAAACGATCCAACATTTCGCCCAACATGGTTCTGGGCGAAATGTTGGATCGTTTGACCACCTTGTTGGGTCACCCAACATCGCATATTTCGATGTTGGACGAAATTTGATTAGGGTCAAAAATTTTGGCTGCCGACGTCCAACAATTCTATTGTTTTGAAGTGTTGAATGAAATGTTGGATCATTTGACCACCTCAGCCAACATTGTTGGCTCTGCGCACGCGCAGTTGGCTAAAGAGCGCCAAAATTCAATCATCGCATCGTTGTTGTTTTCTTACGCTAGTTTCGTTCGTTCCAGCAATCGCGTTTGCTTACAATCAGTTACACTTTAATTATGGGCAATATAACGAAATATAACGTATTCTGTGCGAAAGAAGAGGCATCAAGCGTCAGTGGAGAAACTGTAGCACAGAGGAGCTACAAGAAAGTGCAGGGGGACGAACTTAGGCCACAGCCTTGAAAGGGGATGCTGCGATATTCGTCTTGAAAGACCGCGATGACAGTGAGAATATCTAAAGAGATTATAAAAAGAGAAGGCAGTGATTGCCTTTCGTTTTTTCGGATCGAAATGTCGCGAAACTGTGCAGCCTTTATCGCGAACTTTTTCCGCGCGTTCGATCCGCGCGTAAAAATGTTGGGTGAAATGTTGGATGAAATGTTGGATCGTTTGACCAGGGCTTAACACTTTAGAGAGAAGAGCGAGACAGCATATGCGGAAACTACTCGATGAAGCACTTGACACACGAATGTTCTTTCGTTTTTAGAAGTATAAGTTCTTTAAATATTTCGGCCTTCTACATGTCCTTATAAAGTAGTTCCTACATGCATGTATACGTTGTGTCAAAACGAAACGTTTCCAGCTCGTGGTATTAAATATAGACATTTCTGATGACATTTTGCATATTTTGTTGTAATAATAAAGATTTACGTCTCGAAGTGGCCTAAAGGATCGAATCTCACTCTAGGGAAAATCGAGTGAGTTCTACCAGATAAAGATTGCTTTCGTTGTCAAGTAAAATCATTTCGGATGATTTAACTATTGTACTTATTTACTCAGAAAAGATTTTGAGAACTGCTTCTTGGATTTGGGAGATATCATTGATTTTTTCATGCAGTCCTGGTAATATGAAATTTGGCGGCGTGCTGGTAATCGCACGCCTTGAAAAGTTTAGGCGTGCGATGACGTGCGATCCATAAAATAGAGACCTGATGTGATCTTTGTATTAGAAGGTGGGTATCACTGTTTGACAAAAACTTAGAAGGTTTCCATAAAACCAAAAAGTATTTATGGAACTTTAGAAGAAGTTTCTTGAAAACAAAATAATTTAACAAAAAGAATACAAGTTTTTTAGGCCCTGTTATCATTTCTCCGTTAGTTAATATTCGTATGAGAACGGATTTGAGTGAATCTGTTTGAGTTTTTGCGTTTCATTAATACTCTCAAAAACGGTGTCATCTGATACCAAACCGAATTTATTAAAAGAAAACGCTCTTCAAAGTGGAGTTATCCGAAACGGAATCATCATGAATACGCGGAATTATCATGAATCATCATGAATACATGAATACCTGTTTTCATGAAAGACTATCTTGTACCCAAAACAACAGGTCATAACCTTCGACTCAAAAAACCCCTTGACATTCCAAAAGCCAGAACTACCAATAATGGTATCAGATCATTGAGTTTTCAAGGGCCTAAAATCTGGAATTTACTCCCGGAATCAATAAAGACAGCACAAAATACTAGACAATTTAAGAAGTTGATCAAACTTGGTTCCTTGAAAAAAAGTGCGCATGCTCGTTTTGCAGTAAATGAACTGTCTTAGACCCCGTTCACACTGTCCCGGGACAATTTTGTACCGTTACGGTTCGCAAGTGTTTACACTGTCGCGGTTCCAAATTGTTCTGTTTAGCCGTTCCGTTTACACTGTACCGGTACGACCTTGTTTAGAAGAAGCTGTATTTAGTCAACCAAGGCTTTTATTTTGCCGCTGAAGTCAACAATCGAATTTTTATTGTGAGTTAAAATGGAGCGGAAGGCCGATTAAAACTTTACTTGGACGAAAGACAAGGTGGCTTTAATTTTCAGTGTTATTTTAGACTACAAAACTGCAAAGTCTAATCAAGGCTTGGACTGGGAAACACTACAAGCCTTTTCTGTGGTCGTCTTTTCTTCAGAATTTCCTTTTCTTCAGAATTTGAGAACGTAGTTACGCCACAATCAAAGCCTCGATTACCTGAAACAGCCATACAAAAGGCCTCTTTGTGAATCCGTGACAAAATCGTCTCGGATAGGTGTTTACACTGTCCCGTTCAAAAACGGAACCGTGACGGTACAAAATTCGTTCGCTTTCAAAGCAGGGTCAAAACTGTTCCGGATAGCAGAGCAAAATCGTCACGGTTCCACAGTAGTGTAAACGCAAGGGCGAGCCGCGACAGTTTTGTCACGGTTCCAAACTTGCACGGGACAGTGTAAACGGGGTCTTATGCAATCCTCGAAATTGCTTCATGTTAGTCTTAATTAGTGTATATTCACTATTGTGAAAACTAACATTAAATAATCCCAAATACAATACAATACAATACAATACGATAAAATACAATACAATACAATAAAATACAATACAATACAATACAATACAATACAATACAATACAATACGCGTCGTTTTATTTGGAACAGCAAAGACAGAGGCATTCGAAAAAGGAGTCATTCAATCTTAGTTTCAAAAAGAGCTCGAGCAAAGGATATGAGAACGGATAATAATGGAGTAATAGAAACAACCATGTTATCGTTTTGACCAAATAAAGTGGCCCGAGGTAATATGTGTGTTCAAGAAAATGCGAAAGGAACGGAAAGAGAGAACGGAGACACGCAAAGACGGAGTAATGGAAACCAGGCCTAATGGAAACAAAGTAAAGAGTTCAATGCCTCCGGGAATGCCATCAATATATCCCACACAAATGAAAATGAAAATTACTTTAGAGAAAATAAACAAGAAATTAAAAGAAAGAAAATAGAAAAAGAATAGCTATTCAAAATGTGGAACTGCGCATAGGATAGAAAGCACGCCTCGGGAGCTTTAGGTGTGTGTGGAGGCGTGTGCGTGTGATCGCACGCCCTATATTACCAGGACTGTTAATGCTAGAGATATGTAGGTAGGAAACGACGCAAAATTTATCGCCCGCAATTCTAAGCTTTCTTTTCAAAAAGGGTACAAAAGGAACCATTTGGACATCTTGTGGGCTTTTTTTGGTGTTTCTCAAAGTAGATCGAAAAGAAACATTTTAAGTCACCGCCCCAAAAGGTCACCTCTTTGCTCATTTCGTATAGCACCAAAGCAATTCAAGGGCACTTTCTGGTTATGCAGTTGCAGGGCCTCCCACTCTTTGCAAAACCATAGAACCTTTGAAATTTAAGAAACAATATAAATTTATTTTGTTATGATTGTTAAAATCTCCCATGCCCCCTCCCACTTTTCAACCTGCGTCGGAGTCCATGCAGTTGGCAAAAAGAGCAACTCGGTGAACTGCAAAGGGGCAGGTATCAACGAGAATTTATCAACGAAAATATTTTTGGTAGTCAAAATGGAAAATATTGACTTTCATCTTGCATGTAAGGCAAGGCTGAGCTGCTGTAAAATGGTAATTTTAAACAACATTTTTATCTAAAAACGAGGATTTTTAGTCATGTTTGGGTGCTTTTTCAGTTAATATTCAAACTTGACGGCAAATAAAGGTTGTCTCACTCACTTTGCTGGCAAATTTTACATGTATCTATTATTATACAATACCTCAAGGGCCTTTGTAAATTGCAGTGAGTATGAGCCCTATCTCAGCTGTTCTATGTGTGTATATGAAGAGCGTGTTTGTAAGGACCTCCGATGTCCCTTATTGTTATAACGAATTAGGGTTGTAACAAGATACATTTGGTTTGGTACATAAAAACAACTTTTATTTAAACTAGTAACCACCTGTACCTACCGATATCAAAATGAACGAGGTAGTCAGAGGTGCTAAACAAATTAGAAAATACATGAATGATTATCACAATTCTCTTAACAGTGTTTTTCCTCAACGCACCTACAGTATGTACTTTCATGTAATTAAATTTAGGACCTTTTCATTAAGTTCAAAGAATCTTGAAGAAACGGGAAATTTTCAAACGGCAGGAAATCTGTCCAGTTTTACTATTACCGGAAGTATTAACTCGCTTGATTATTTGACTCATGTCTATTTGTCTTTTGTTCATTGGTCCGAAGATTACATAGCTGATTACAGGTCGTTTCTCTATTCTGTACCTTTGGTCCGGCTTTTGGCATACTGTTAAAAGACCAAATACAAGTTCCGCAAAATTCGTAATGTCAGGAATCGAGTAGGCCATCCATATGCGAGAAGGTCAGAGTATCACAGTGACATTGACAAATTAATGGCGGCCCATTCGCGGTTTACCAGGTTGTTTCTGGGTGTCTTTCTTGGTTTGGTTGCAATTACCGGATTCGTTATCTATGAGAGTCTCCAGTGTGACTTTGAAGATGGACTAACTTACTACAAACTGCCAAATGGGAAACTCATAAAAAAGTTTGATCCGAATCAGGAAATAGAACTATTCACTACCTTGTCGCCAAAATGTGATTTTGAAAACGAGAAACTCGTTTGTCCCGATGTGCGCCATTTGGGGAAAACGTTGTTGCGCCAGACACAGTTAGCTACGATAAGGATGATGGCCGCATTTGATAGGATTTGCAGAAAGCACCGCATAAGATATTGGATGTGGAGAGGGGCCTTGCTAGGGGCCATCAGGCACGAGGGTTTTATACCTTGGGACAACGAATTAGATATTGGAATTATGAAAACAGATTACGAAAAGTTTCGTATTGTTTCTCATGAACTGCCCGTTGATATATTTCTTCAAAATGCCTCGAGCGATCATGCGTTTGGAAAGCACAAACACACCATTCTTGCCAAGCTTAGAGATCAACAAAGTTGCTTTGGAAACTGTGTGCGAGCCGGTTGCAAGTTTCACGACGGCTTTATGATTGATATTTTCGGGTTTGAAGAAGACGCTAGTTTTCTTCGGGAAACTACTAATAACAAAGTTAATTTTAACGTTAGGAAAACTGATGTTTTTCCTCTGAAAGAGGCAAGGTTCGAAGGCTTTTCAGTTTTCGTTCCAAACCACTACAAAATGATTTTGAGAAAAAATTACGGCTCTGACTATTATGAAATCCCGAAGATAAGGAAACGATGCCCACCTGGACAAATTGTAGGCCTTCCGTGGACCACGTGCCAGGAGCTTAATCGCATGAATTCAACAGAGAAGAATTTTCATATTTACTCGACAAGCATTTCCAAAGTTAAATCTGTTTCTTGGTATTTGTAGATCGCTTAGCGCTGTCGTGTCAGGTTATGCCGACCTTCCCAGAGATGGAAACATAAATTTAACAATTGAGTCTTTTTCGAAATTAACAAGCAAAATATGAAATTAAATATGACCGACAACCAGTGGCGGATCTAAAAGAGGGGGGGGGCAACTAGGGGCAGTTGCCCCCAATGCCAACTGCTCCTCCCTCAAATTTGCTCTGGATCCGCCCCTGCCGACAACCTTAAGGAAATATTGGGGAAATCTCGCCATAGTTAACCATGCTGTTCTTAACCATATGTGAATTAATTTTCCAAGTCTGTTAAAACTTAAGCAAATAATTTAACATGTTGGCAGAATCATGATAAGTGTTTTTATGAATACCTACGTTTTTGTGGATTTACTTATATACTAAAATGTTATGTTTTCAGGAGGTTATATTTGATACATACATGTCATATTTTTTGTTGATTGATGCTTTGTTGTTGAAATAATCTAATTAAAATGTCAAGTTCAATACAGAACTGTAGAACAGATTAGGTTTGCTGTTAGTAACACGGTTTTTGATGTGGAGCATTTTTATAGAAATATTATCTTCGTTTCAAGACATGGCTTTCACTGGATTACAGGAAAGCGATCACGCCCTTTGAAAAATTAAGTTAAATAGAATTTTTTGGATCTCGTGATCCTTAAGGGCTGATCTGCGATGAACTGGAATTTTGGAGTGACATTTTCTTTTAATAACAAATTTTAAACTGGTAATATTGAAAGGAAAGCCCTTAATCGCAAAAACTAGTTCTTCAAAATTCGGCAACAAAAATCAATTCTGCAAAGTTTAGGGGGAAATATTGATTAGGGGGAATATCCGTATAACATTTTTCTTTCGCAAAGAATAACGACTTTGAAGTTCATAAATTTCTTCACAGAAAAAAGGTTTTGGGATTAAAAAGTTTAGCATTTATCAATGAATCGGTATTAATGAGCAATTTCTTGGGAAAACGTCATTGTGATATCATACATAAAAGTGGCTAACTACCATAAGAGTTTGCCAACTTGTGTAAATCCCACGACTACTAAGTTAATAGGAAAATTGGACTTGGAAATTACGATAAAGTACAGCTATATTTATGTTACTAAATTTAGCTCCCTGCAACCATCATAGTAGAGCTATCACATGCCATAATGGGGTCATTAAAATAACATAAATATTAATGTTCTCAGAGCAGGATTTTGAATAAGATGTTTTGCATACTTGCTTAGTTTGTAGGGGTGAAAATTGCTGAAATTAAAGAAAGATGAATTAGTAAGGTATCTGATACAGATTCACACCAACAAGGGAAACCTCTTTAATGCAAAAAAACCACAAATTCGATTGATAGTCGTGGTCCTTCGACGCTAAAAGGTTTGGATAAACTATTTTTCTCGAGCAGCAGAAGCGAGGTTAGTCTCCGAAAAAGAGACCGCGAAAGCAGGGGGAGTGAGGGGGCTTTAGCCGCAATTATATTATATTCAAAATATAATTAAAACCATACAACGAATCGTCTTGCTCTTGGTTTTTAGCATGATTAGCCCCTCCCCCCCTCCCCCTCGGTCTATGATATTCTCGGTGATTTATGCTCCTAAACAGTTCCATCTTTTAGAATCTTGGAAAGAGATTAATCTATAATCCTCCAATCAAAGAACAAAAATGTCGAGCATTTGGGAAAACAAGAAATAATAATGTGCGTGTATGCCAGGCACAAATAAAACCGTAATTCGATAGGGCATAAAAAAGATGTAATCCTAGTCGCTTTGTGTTTGAGGAGTCTTCCTAACAGGTTAATTTGTCTGTTTAACTAAAGACAATACCACCCTGTTGTTCTTTGAAATTCTACAATGCCAGTAAATCGGTACATGCAAATCGGTTGGTTGTATGGATGCCATCAAGCCCTGACAACTAGCCCTGACCTGACAAAACAAGTTGGTTGCTACCACAGCCTCTGCCATTTGGCCGTTTTGACAGCCAAATTCCTCCATTCTGGCCGTTTTTCAAAGCTTTTTGGCCGAAAAAGTAAAAGGTCGGCCGAATTTTGGCCACATGTTGAAAAACAAAGACAAAAATACAAAGACAAAGAATACGACAATTTTTGCACAGAAAATATTCAACACAGGCACCGCGGAGCGTTGAGAAAAGTGGGAGGTCTAAAAAAGTGGGGGGGGGGGTAAAACCGTATAAAAAGAGGCTTTTCTGGTC